CCCCAAAACCCCAAAACCCCAAAACCCCAAAACCCCAAAACCCCATATTAAATTTTTCTAATTGATTTAAAAGGAAGAAATATGTATCCAAACTCAAATAACCAAGTAAACTTTGGGATGGGAGATAAGATGCCTCAGCAGCCTCCTTCTGTTTACTTTGCATACCCAATCCCGATCGATCAAGTAAGTATATTATCTAAAACAATTCGTATAGTTTACTAACTTTCAAAATCAAATGGGACCTTATAATATTTTGCCAGTTCAATTATCAGGGATGCCTGGCCAAATGATTCAGTTTCCTCAGCATTCTTTGCACCCTTCTCCCATAGGGCCAGGATTTCCACAACAATTTGCAAGCTTTCCACAACAGCTTCCGATGTCAGAAGGGACACCTCAGATTGCCCCTCCCACTCCACAGGATCAAGAGGGTCCTATTGTACAGGACAGTCAACCTCAAAAATTTAATCAGCTAAAAGAAGATGGTAGTATAAATAACACAGAAAATAATTCAGGAGCACTTTCCATCGAACCCCCTCGCGAACGCTGGAAAAGGAAAGATGACAAGGAAATGTTTGCCTTCTTGAGAGATTACTGTATGAAGACTGGAGATACTATAGACAATATTTCTCAGAGACTCCAAAACTCCAAGGACAAGGATCATGGATTCTGGGTTTACATTTCAAATTCGATTAAATGGAAAGGACCCCTGTTCATGCTCCAGAAGAGATTTCAGAAGCTTTGTAGCACGAAGGGCCTCTCCATTCGTGAAAAGATTCTATTAAGAAAGTTATACGATATGAAGAAGAAATCAAAGGAAGAGGTTACTCTTGATTCAATATTATACCATTTTCCTGGGAGAACTTTGGAAGACCTTCAAATTGAGAACTTAGACGATGAGATCAATGGGTACTTTGCCATGTTCAAGAATCCAAACCATTATCATATGACCAAATATAAAGACAATATTTTATTCAAGATAGATAAGGTATCGAAGAATCAAAAGAAAAAGGACAAAAATTTAAAAATCAAAATAGACCTCACAAAAGTTAGTGCGGAGGTAGTAAAGAAAGAAACTCAAGGTAGTACTGTAGATGACTCTAAGGAAAATGAAGTTATTATTGACTAAAACATATACCATTAACCGATTATGACTAAAGTTATTATCTTTTTAAGTTAGTTATGAAGAAAAGGGGTTTTGGGGTTTTGGGGTTTTGGGGTTTTGGGGTTTTGGGG